GCATTTATTTTATTAGGGTTAGGTTTAATACCTTCTTGAGAAACTATATGTCCTAAATATTGAACTTCTTTTCTTAAAAATTCAGATTTATCTAATTGTATTTTAAAACGATAAGTTCTTAATCTTGAAAATATTTGTTTTAACTTTTCGATATGCTCTTGTAAACTAGTACTGAAAATAATTATATCATCTAAGTAAACAAAACAAATTTCATTTTGTAAACCTCTTAAAATATTATTCATTACTCTTTGAAATGTTGCTGGAGCATTTTTTAAACCAAAGGACATTCTTAAAAATTCAAAATGTCCTGTATCTGTGCTAAAGGCAGTTTTAGAAATATCATTAGAATTTATTTCAATTTGGTGAAAACCATTAGCAAGATCTAATGTTGTAAAATAGTTAGCTTTGCCTAATTTATCTAGAATTTCAGTTATATTTGGTAAAGGAAATTTATCATCAATAGTTTGTTCATTTAATTTTCGATAATCAATGACCATACGCCATTTTTGTTTATTTGATGCGTCTAGTTTTTTAGGTACTATCCAAATTGGTGAAGACCAAGGTGAATTTGAAGGTCTTATAATATTTTGAGAAAGTAATTTATTAATTTGACTTTTTACTTCATTTTTATGTACTTCTGGATATCTATAACTTTTAGTATAAAGAGGTGTTTCATTTTTTAATTTTATATCATGTTTAATTGCATTAGTAAAAGATAAAGGTATATCTTCATGATGAAAAATATCTCGAAATTCTAAACATAATTTTCTGATAGCTTGTTTTTCTTCAGAATTACAATGATCAAGTCTTAGATTTTTTTAATTAGATTTTAATAAATTATCTTGATTTTTATTTACTTGTTCAATATTATTGTCAGAATTAATAAAATTTAATTCATTTATATTTACTGGTTCAATGTCAAAAGGTTCAATAAAAGATACTTTTATAGAATTTGAAGAATTATTTAAAATAGTAGTAAATACAAAGTTATTTTCTATTTTTACTAGACAGTCAGGTATGTCAATCTCATTGGCTTTTTGATATTTTAAAATTCCATATCCATTATTTAATTTTACAGGTATTTTAATTTTTTGTATACTTCTAGGAGAAATTACATGAGTACAACTCTGTATATTATTATTTATAATAGGTTTATTCATTTTAGTCTGATATTCAATTGGAATTTGCGTGTTAGGCGTTTTTAAAGAGAGAGAATTAAAATCTAAGTTAGCATTTAATTGCATTAAGAGGTCTAGTCCTATGAGACCGTCAAATTTATTTGAAAAATTAAATAAATAAAATTTATGTATACCAGGTGAATTAAAACTTGGAAATATAGGTAAAATAGCAACTTCATTATGAAAAGAAACAGCATGTGCAGTTTGAACTTGAAAAATTTCTTCTTTAATAAAATCTTGAAAATAATTATAAGCAATTTCTGGATTTATGAAACTTTTTGTACTACCTGTGTCAATTAAAAATTTTGCATTCAACTCAGGTAAAATAATAAAAGGTAATTCAATAGAATAATTATTTAGATATGCTATATCGATGGTTGTGTAGTCGAAATCATCTGAAAATTTTGATCTTCAGGAGATTCTAAAACTTCTCCTTGATTAAAATTTTCTAAGTCATATTGATTATATTGTTCATCATAAAATTGATCATTAAAATTAGTCATAGTTGGATAATTATAAGAACATTCATTACTGTTATTATATTCAAAGTCATTATTAGTGTTTTCAAAATCATTATTTGTATTTTGAGTGTTATTTTGTGTGTTAGCTTGTTCTGTATCTGACGTGTTATAATATTTTGGTGTAAAACAGTGTTTCCTGAACTCGTGTCCATTGGTTCAACTCTATTTAGTCTACTATTAGACGAACTTGGTTTATTTTGTCTAAAAGTGTTTGAATTTGGTCTTTGTCCAAAATTAGGTCTTCCAAATTGTTGATTATTATTTGGCAAATTTCTTTGAAATTGATTAGATGTACTTGGTTGATTATTAAATTGATTTTGTCTTGGCATATATGGATATATCACTGGATAATTAGGATAATTTCGGTGATTATTTGTATTAAATTGACTATATTGAGGTTGAGAAACAAAGTTTGGCATCATTAAATTTGATGTATTAGATGCATTTGGTTTATAAATAGGAATATTTGATTTATAATTATGTTGTGGTTTCGTTTGAGGTATTAGGTGTCTTAATGATTGTTGTGTATGTGTATTATTATACGAGTGATTTTTAAAATATAGGAAATTTTCTTCTTCTCGAACGAAAGACATGGCTTTTTCTAGACAATCTGGATTTTTTAATCTTACAATTAATTGAAAATTATAAGGCAATCCATTTATAAAAGTCTTTAAAGCAAATTCTTCATAATGTCGAATTTTCATTAATTTTTCAGTTGCAAGTTCATTTGTTGTATTTAATTTTGAAAATAATAAACTGCGTGAATCTTGGATACGCATTCCAAAATTTATAGGAGATTCATTTTTGAATGGTTTTAAATTAATTAAATCTTGTATTAAGCAATCAATTGATCTTTGATCAGCAAAACAATTTATTAATGTATTTTTAATATTATTCCATTTTTTTAGTTCTGAGCGAGAGACAATAAGATCAGCTGCTCTACCAGTTAGTTTTCCTAAAACAATGTCTGTGAGACATATGTTAATTTGTGCATTGGGATTTGCAATATCTTGAAAAGCTTTTATTAAGTTTTCACATGAATTTAAATATCTTTGTAATAATTTTGGATTCCCGTCAAATTTAGGAATATTATCTGACTGAAAACGTAATAAATTGTAATTTATTTCTCGCATTATTACCTGATTTGCAATATTATTATCAATAGAAAGATCGGTTAAATTATTGATAATATCGTTTATTATTTCGTCAATCTTGCTCTCTTTCGAAATACACTTAGAAGAGAGAAAAAACGATATATATCCTTAAAAATTAATTTATAGTGACAAAATTTAAAGAGAGATTATCTTAAAACTAAATTTACTGTCACAAACTCTCTAACTTGATTAGTTCCGAAAGGCGTGTTTTTATCAAGCAGCTTCGCGAAAATTACGAAAAGTCACGAAATTTCGTATAGCACAAAACTTCACAAAATCTTCAAAAATTCAAAAACTTCTAAACTAAATCTTCTACTTACAGGGTGATGCTTGTAGACATTCCTGCTGTGGGTTTCTTTTTTCTTTGTTGTGAAGTGTTGTGTTCTATGTCTGGGTTGGCGATGTTTGTCCTCACCAGACGTACTGTTGGACGGCGATGTTTGTCCTTCCAGACAGCCAGACAGAGGATCCCCAATATTCCCTTGGAGACCTACTGTTTTGTGGAGCCAACGAAGTCTTCAGTGTCTTCTTCTTTCTTGCCTCTCGTGACCAAGTAACGTTGGAACCCTGAAGATACCTTAAATCGGTACTATTTAACACTCCGCGTTCCGGAATATCCTACCAACTGCGCCAGTTAAATGAGAAACTCGAGACAAGTTGTTTTTAAAAAATGTTTTATTTAATGAAAACCGAAGTTAACAGCTCTAAGATCTACATTGGACTCAAACGAATTGTACAGTTTGAGTCGTATTTATAAGATTACATTGATTACAAAGCAAGTACATTTTTATGTGTACTAAACCTAATGTACAGGATGTAATTCGCATGTCTAATAACATCTTGTCAAATAATATCAATAATTAGATTAGTTTGCGTTTTTTAGTTAGAATTTTTGTTTAAATGTCAATAAGTAAAAATTACATATTTAAAAATATAATTATTAAAAAATCTCTTAAATGATATTTTCTGATGATACTATTAGAAATGTCAAGTTTGGGAAAAAGTTGAATGCACACACTAAATTTTGTCTAAAAATATGTTTTCTAAAATTTATTCGCATGATTGAAATTTTAATTCTTACTAGCTATAGGGAACATTTTCTAAACCTGGTAACTATGACTATTACTTTGATCGTCTCCATGTTAGAGGACTTAACTTCTTTCCCACCACGTTATTTGTCTTAGCTGATTGGTCTTATCCATTGGTCTCATCCCGCCTCTCTAAAATTTGGAAGCTATGAATTTCTGTCGTCACACTTGCCACGTGTGACCCAACAAAATCTTGAGTCACAGGCGTAGAATATTTTATTTCCATTCAGATTTAATATAACAGGCAATTAAAGTTTAAAAGTTTTGTTTATGAATTCTGTAAAATTTGACTTATTAGAATTTTTACAAGAATCTGTTTGATAATAGCTGACAGAGTTTAAGAAGGGAACAGTTTGTTTTGTTTCTCGTTTATTCTATCTTTACTAACAGCTGGCCGATTTTTATTTTAAATTACGCAACGATTACAAAGATGCAAACGCTGCTTCATAAGCCCCATACTCACTATGCTCTGATGCATCGATTTGATGCGTCCATGCGTCTATACACGTATAGTGAGTATGATGCGGCTAGCGGCTGGTCGATTCGAAGCGTCGCGCGTCGTCGGCGTCGCGTCGATGCGATTCGTTAGTTCGTTTGGAAATTCGTCTGTCAAATATCATTTTCCGTATAAAGATTCAGGACCAAATGATTTAAATCGAAAAAAGTATTTCAATCATAAAGAACATTTAAATCTTGTTGAAAGTGACAGCTCTGTTTTTGGGTCAGAGGGCGGACACACTTGCCTCTCAGTAATGCAAGTGAGCATTAATTAGTATTTTTTAATTAGTCGTTTCTTAAGAAAAACTATCTCAGGGTGCATCCACATCATTCTAGAAAAAGTGGAACTGCGTATCGGCGTAACGACCTTCAATCGATTTCCAGCAATTCTATTGGCTGAAAAATTCATCTGTCAAAAATATCATCTGTCAAATTCATCTGTCAAAAATTTCAGCCAATAGAATTACTGGAGATTTAATCAAGGTCGTTACGCCACGCCGTTCCGCTTTTTCTAGGATGATGTGGATGTACCCTCAAATTGTTGAATTATTTGTTTTATAGTGTCCCTCGGATCATTTACAAATGGAGTACTATTTGTTTGGAGTTCTCCGTTTACATTAGTCATAACCAAAGACAAAGAAAACTACAGCATTACGGAAAGTGAAGCATCTTATTTTAATGTGATGCAACCTGTTGGTAAGTTGGGCATAAGAACAGGGTGAGTCAACGATAAATTTCATTATCTCATTTATTTCAAAAATTACAAAAAAATATCTAAAACACCTTCTACACTATTCGCGAAATAGTACGAAGTATGTCAAGGTCGAACAGAGAAGAGAGTTCTAAGAGTCCATATCTCTGGTTCTAAGCCGTGACGAAACAAAGTTAGGAAAGGAAATCGTCAGTGAAACGTGATAACCTGTTAACTCCATTTTTTACGTTAATAGGTTTTTTTATACCATTAGAAAGAGAAAAAAATACTCTATAAAAAGGGAAAGCAAACATTTTTTCCCATTAAAGAATTTTTTTTATTTTAACGCAATAATATCTGCTAACTCCTAGTGATCTGAAATAGCCACCGAAATGCTGCTATCCCCGTAATATTCGTGACGATCACGCTAAAACAAACACACAGATTCTTAGTCGTATGTTTTTATGGTACAGTACGTCGATCCAGGGTCGCACTAGGCCAAAGGGGCCCGGGTGGCAATGTAAGGAGGGGCTAGTGTGTTTTTTTTGGCGTATTTTTTCGCCTTACATTTTGGTCAATTTTTCCCTATTATATGCAGGATGAGTCTTAAATAAGTGCAAATATTTTTTAGGGTAGTATATTTCGACCCAAGAAACACGATTATGAGGTTTTTTGCGCGAATTTTTTTTGAAAATTTTAGTTTAAAAACATACTTTGTTTGTAATATGGTAAAATAGGTAGTAGATTAAATTTACAAGAAAGAAAATCCAATGCTTTTCAAAATTATAGCAAAAAATTGGAAATTTCAAAAGTGAAATAACTCGGTTGTTTTGGATTTATTTGAAAAAATAGTAAAGAGAAAATATTATGTTTCTTTTATCGAGATTTATCAGCTCTGCACATATTTGCACTTATTTAAGACTTACCCTGTATAGAAATCAGGGAACTACCCTAATGCAAGGTAAACCAATGCAATGCAATTTCCATAATGCTATGCAAAAGCAAATATTGTTAAGAATAATAATTATTCTTACCTAATTCTCATTAATTATTAATGAACTATAAAGGGCCCCCCTAATAGTTATCTATAAAATATAGCCAGTCCGACCCTGCGTCGATCCGTTCTGTAAATACGGGGTATCTGTAAAGGGTAAGGGGAAAAACGAAATTCTCTATATACGAGCAATTCATCGGCGTGCTATAAACAGTTTAAATAACATTACTTACTTGTACAATAATACCTAATCAGTTTTATTTTTTTCAACGTATTTTCACGTAAATGATACATAATTTTTATAAAAATTAAAAAAATAAGGAGAAAAGTAATAAAAAATTAATAAAATCATGCACTGTCTTTCAAGCTCGGTCTACTACAGTTGTATAAAAATTAGGATAAGCATGGAAGGATTCTACCATATCTTCTAAGAATTATAAGTTTAATTTTTAAATTATTTTCATATTCATTATGTCCAAAATTCTGCTACTTCAGTTCTTTAAGAATGCAAAAAATTTTAAAATTTTCATTAAAAATTTATTCGTTTTTGGACTTGTATGTTTTGCTTCTAGACCGACGATTTTATAAATATATGGTTATGAATATCATATTTTTTAAATTTAATTGATTATTTATTGATATTTTATTATAAATCTGTTTGGGTAATATTCATTTCCACTTTCAAAATTTCGAACAATAAAGGTTGCTATCTCCAGAAGTATATTTTTATTTCTTATTTCTGCCTACTAATCTCCCTATCGTGTCTGAAAAAAATGACGTAACACGAAATATTGAGTTTTATTGTTCCCCAGCAAATAAAATTCTTCTCTCTTTATCATATTAACGCATCAAAATACTTCCCACATGTTTCCATCTCTTGTAAAATTAGGAATAATGGAGTTAGCAGTTTATCACGTTTCACCGACGAAATTCGAGAGAGAGAGAAATATCCCTTTTTACTTTTCGACCTTGACATAATTCAGGCTATTTCGCGCAGGGGCCTGCGGTGAAATTTTAAGTTAGAGAAGCATTTTTTAGAAACTTACATATCTGTAATGTAATTCGATTCTTCGATTACTTTTTGCAAATTCGTCAATTACGTCATGATGAAAACGTGGATGCTCAGACATGTTTTGTGGAAGTTTATTTTCGATGGACAACAGGGATACTTGCAAAAGTTTCTCCTGACCCGTTGAATTTGTCACAACATTTTTTATACACAATTTCGACACTTTGGTGTAGGCGCATCTTCTAGCTCCTTGTCTTTTAAAAATTGCATTAGTTCCCTAGCGTTATTTTTTGCACTAATGTCATCAGTTTCTAGGTCATAAGACGTTCGGAGACAACAATATGTATTTCTGTTAATTGGTAGCGATTTTGTTTTTGACTGCAATGCATACGCCATGAATTCTCCTGTGTGTTGCGGGGTGAAAGAAGGTGTAATGCTCATCAGTGAAGGGGTGTGAGTAACACACCTAACCTAACCTAACCTACCTTCATCCGGAAAGCGAATTTCGCTCAGAGTGGCAACATCTATATTTATCCGGCGAAGTTTTTGTAAGACCAGTGCGGTTTTTCTCTCTGATCGATTTAAATTTATCTTGTCCAGTAGAGTGCGGACGTTCCACGCTGCAAACGTGATTGATTATTTTTCGAGACATCTTCACTGCTGAACTAAGCTTGGGGGCGGGACTTAGAGACCCTATGCTTTCTACATAGTATATTATGGAAATACGCATCCCGCAGACCACTGACTCACAAATAAACTACTGAATTTCCTAATTGTTTACAACATAATATTTGGTTAGGTTTGGTTTGGTTTGGTTTGGCATCTTCGTTGATTATTAAAAAGCGCAAAGCTTTACTAAATGTTCACCTATCTTTTCAAATAATATCATATCTTGTTATCTTTCTGGATACGTTTGTATATTGATTTCTGATCTTCTTGCGCTATTTCTAACGAATTTCCAATAAAATCTAAACAAGCTTTTCGAACAACCAAAGCCTCCTGAAAATTGAAAAAACAATTTTTAAAAACTCTTGACGTTTAAAATCCACTGTGCATAACTTGTACAGGGTGGGTCAAATTCGACGCTTTTAAATGGAAACATCCTTTTCTATAGGAGATAGACGAAAACTAATATCGGTGTCTGGAGCTCAATTTTCATCAAAAACATGATGGTGAAAACCGCACATCAATATCTGTTACCGTTTCGGAGATACGGGGTGTTTTTCAAAAATGTGCATTTTTAACAAATCGCTGTAACTTTTTTGCTATTGAAAATTTTGTATTTCTATGAAAACTTCCAAAGCACCTTTTTACGTAGAATTTAATGGTTTAAGTACAATTTTTTTAAAATTAATAATTTAAGAGTTATCAACAGAAAAATTGATTTTTTATTTGGGACACCCTCTATATTTTTAATTCACCGAAAAGAATTTAAAATTACCTTTCCAAAAATATAGCACACTTGATATTTTGTTATAATCCCCTTCGAAATACAGAATTTTTAAAAGTTCGCCACTTTAAACTAGTAGGCTTTGGACCCAGGTTTGGACCCCTTATTGAAGATATGCCCTTAATGGAACTCGAAAACATATTTTTCTAGCAAGACGACGCACCGCCTCTGAACGCTGAAGTTATCAGCAAATTTTTGCAGTCAAATTTAAGAATAATTGAATAGCTAACCAAGATCCCAGCCGTTGGCCGTCGAGTCCGCCTAACTTAGTGCCCATGGATCTAATCCTATGGATATATTTGTGGAAGAATAAAAGTTCCTTATTCTTCCGTAATCTAGACAAGAATTAGAAATACTTAGCAGTTATGAGAGGGTATCTTTCACCCCCACTGAGTTAATGAATTCCGCGAGAAATGTTCAAAAACTGGCCCGTCTGTCCATAACAGAAGACGGTTGATATGTTGAACACCTGTAGCAAAATCTCATGTCTTTGTTTGCTATTTAGTTTTATTGTTATTAGATATAGTTTAAATATGTTGATGTTGGTTAAATATATTTTAAATTGTTATAAAATTTTGCATCTCTCATAGCAAGTATTATTTTCGTTTTAAATGATACGCACAGCTAGATTTTTTTTACATTACAGCCGGTGCCGTTCAAAGCCTACTTATTTAAAGCGGGCGAATTTTTATATACTCTATATCTCGAAGAGGAATCGAGCAAAATATAAATTCTTATCAATAAATTAAAAATAAACAGGGTGTCCCATATAAAAAATCAAATTTTCTGTTGATAATTCTTAAATTATTAATTTAAAAAAAATTATACTTAAACCATTAAATTCTACGTAAAAAGGTGCTTTGGAAATGTTTTCATAAAAATACAAAATTTTCCATAGCAAAAAAGTTACAACGATTTGTTAAAAACGCATATTTTTGAAAAACACCCCGTAACTCCGAAACGGTAACAGATATCGATATGCAGTTTTCACCATCATGATTTTGATAAAAATTGAGCTACAGACACCGATATTAGTTTTTGTCTATCTCCTATAGAAAAGGGTGTTTCCATTTAAAAGCGTCGAATTTGACACACCCTGTACATTGATGAAATGGTAATTAATTTATCTATTTAGATGTGTAAACATCTAATATGGCGCCTTTACGAAAATATAAAGTTAATGATGGTGGCAAAAAGACGAAACGTCGGATAGCAAATTTGTAAGCACTGTTGTGTAGTTGGAAAAAAGTGGAAATGAAAATGTGTTTTTAGTTTTAGTACACATTGTCGTCAATTCGACAATTTACGGGTTTTCTGGAATATCTCCGGAGCTACTCGAAATTTTAAATGTTTCAAATCGCATATTATTAGGCACATAAATGCACTTTGCACAACTTTGCCTTAGTTAAACAATCCTAGTATCTCGTATATAGTTTTCAAGCGGCTAATGGGGGAGATCGAATTTAAATTACCCTGTGTATAATCATCTAGTATTTCCAGTACATCATATTTTTAGCAATTAAATAATAAAAACACAGAACCTCCGATACAC